ATCTTTTCGTCCACTACTGGTGTGGTCCAGGGTGGGCAGTCTGCAGCCAGTGGACTGACTCGCTGCGGGCAGTGCTGCCACCTCGAAGGCCGACGCATCCATGGGGTGTGTGCGGTGGTACATCCAGGGTCGCAGCTAACCGCTGCTGAAGTGTAGGGAGGAGGTCTCGTGCCCGTAGTCTCAGCTGCTCCCCGCGTGGATCCAGGTCGCGGCAAGTGAAGACGGAGCACCCACAGAGGGTGGCGGCAGACGGCCCTTGTCAGACAGCACCGGGATGCAAGAGCACCCTGAGCCCCCGAGGGAAGACGGCCCATGGCGGACAGCACTGGGAGGCAAGAGTGCCGAGAGCCCCCGCGGGAGGTCTCGAGCCCGTAGGTGGGGACAGACATCACCGCGCAGCGCACGGACCCCAGGCGCACCTGGCCAGGGGACACGGCCGCCATTCCCCGAGGGGCATCCAGGGTCGCAGCTAACCGCCGCTGAGAGGAAGGTAATACCGAGCGGTCGATCTTTTCGTCCACTACTGGTGCGGTCCAGGGTGGGCAGTCTGCAGCCAGTGGACTGACTCGCTGAGGGCAGTGCTGCCACCTCGCAGGCCGACGCATCCGCGGGGGGGGGGTACATCCAGGGTCGCAGCTACCCGCTGCTGAAGTGTAGAGAGGAGGTGTCGTGCCCGTAGTCTCAGCTGCTCCCCGCGTGGATCCAGGGTCGCGGCAAACCGCCGCTCTGGGTTGAGTGAAGGCGAAGCACCCACGGAGGGTGGCGGCAGACGGCAGTTGTCAGACAGCACCAGGATGCAAGTACCCGGAGCCCCCGCGGGATGTCTTGTGCCCGTAGTCTCTGCTAAGGGAGGCCTCGCGCTACTCCCCGCATGGATCCGGGGTCGCGGCAAACCGCCGCTCTGGGTCGAGCGAAGACGGAGCGCCCAGGGAGGGCGGTGGCAGGCGGCCCTTGGCAGACAGCACCGGGATGCAAGAGTCCCTCGAGCAGCCGCGAGAGGTCCCGCGCCCGTAGTCTCAGCTGCTCCCCGCGCGGATTCAGGGTCGCGGCCAGCCGCCGCTCTGGGTCGAGCGCAGACCGAGCGCGCACGGAGGGCGGCCCTTGGCCGACAGCACCGGGACGCAGAGTACCTTGAGCCCCGCGGGCCCCTCCCCGCTGGGGGGGGCGACAGGACGGGCACCCAGGGACACGGCCGGTGGACAGGGGCGCGCGCGGACCCTTCACTGCCATTGCGGCGCCACGACGGGGGGCAACAAACGGCTGCCATGGGGAGACGACCAGCCACAATTTCTTGCCCTTCCTGGGCGCGCGGGTGCCCGGGTGGCCCTTTGCCGCCTGGCGACCCCTGCCCGCGCCGCCGCTTCGACCAGGGCACTGACGGCGAGGCCCAGCGCGTCGCTAACGGCCCGTACATCGCACGTGCGGCTGCGGAAGAAATCCAGAAAGCGAAAGCAAGTTTGCGGGTCGTGCCGTAGCGGGTCGAGCGCGCCTCTGCTGCCAGGCGCGGCCTGCTGCGCGGCGAAAGCGTGCCGGGCGCCGGTGAACATTGCCCCCAGGGTGACTTGAAGCCGCCTTATCGCCTCGCCGGGTGTCTCCCCGGGAAGGCCCCACTGGATGGCGCCGACCTTCGATTTGTACAGCCGCTGTCCCGCGTCGGGGTCTAAGGGCTCTGGCCATTGGCGCGGCTCTGGCCACGGGCGCCGCCGCGTGTTCCGGCCGCAAATCTCCGGCGAACCAGCCCCGCTGTCCTGGGCGGAGGGCTCGGAATTTGTTTGCGACAGCTCCGGCTGCAAACCTGGCGGGGCCCCGCGGGCAGGCGCGGGCCGCATAGTTGGCCGCCAGGCAGGGGCCGGATCGCCTCCGGCAGCCCGGGCGGGCGCTGCCCTGAGGTGCGCGGGGAGAGGCCCCTTTCGCTGGCGTTCGCCTCCGGGCCTGCGCCCGCCGTCGCTCACGGGCGCGCCCCCTTCAGTCGCCGCGAGGCTCTCGCCGGACGCGGGGGCGCCGCCGGTCGCACCTGGCGCGCGCACGCACGGCGACACCGGTTCCATTGCCAGAGCACAAACTTCTTTGTCAGGCGCGTCCTGGGCGTCTGGAGGGAGCGCCCGAGGTTCGCCGCCCATTCGGATGGGTTCACTGGCAGGGGAAGGAGGGCGAAGAGGCGCGAAGGGGTTTCTCCCGACGAGCCGGCGGATGGCTACGATGTCCTGCGTCTGAACGGCTGGTCCGCGGCCCCCACGTTGGGTCTGAGGCGCCCCCAGAGGACTGCTGACGGTCTGCCTATTTTGTGGAGAAGGTGGGGATGGCACGCTGTGGCGGGCGAGCCCCTGCTGGTCCAGGATCTCGCTTCGCGGACTGTCGCGGCTGCCGTTCGCACTTTCGGAGGCCAACCACTGTCTACCCGATTCTGCTCCAGGGGCGCGGCCGACGGCTCGCGCCTCATCCGCACCTTCAATGGCCTCCGCCGCTTCAGGCACCCGATCTCCCGCGGCCTCCGCAGGCCCCGCCCCTTCCGCCGCATCATCCATCTCTTTTTCCTTGCCACCCAAGGTCGCATCTCCTGTCCCAACCCGGCAGCTGGAGTCGAATAGATGGCTCGGGCACTGAGATGCAAGAGCGCCTCGAGGTCGAGACCGGGCATCAGGGAGCAAGGGGAACTCCTCCTGACCCGTTCCGCCTCCTTCTACACCCGTCGCATCTGCCATTCCCCGCAGGGATCCAGGGTCGCGGCTAACCGCCGCTTTGGGCTGCGAAGTGGCATCCTGGTTGCCTTCTGGCCCAACGCGCCCATTTTCCCCGTGTGAGCATGACGCCATAGCCGCTCCAGGCTCGACTTGTCTTCTAGAGGTCTGCTGGCCGCCAGGGTCCCGCGAGGGCGAGGCGACCCTGGCGAGGGGAAGCAGGGGCGCCTCGTTCGCCAACGGACACAGGGCTGCAAGGGTGCGAAGGAACCTCTTCCGCGCAGCTGGAGTCGTGAAGATGGCACGGGCACTGAGGTGCAAGAGTGCCTCGTGGTCTCGGAGACCGGGGATCAGGGAGCAAGGGTGCCTTATTCTGACCCATTCCGCCCCCTTCTGGCCTGACGGACCCTGCGTCTTCTTGTGGGTTCTGCTGGCTTCCAGGGGTGCCCGGAAGGCCATCAGGGAGCAGGGTTACCTCCTTCTGAACGTCAGAGAGGGTGCCTTGAGGTCTCGCGGGTCCCTCGTCACCAGGGTTGCGGCAGACGGCTGTCTGAGCTGTTGTGGGTCTCTGCGGCTGCCGCTGCTGCTGCTGCTGCTGCTGCTGCTGCTGCTGCTGCTGCTGCTGCTGAGGGAGCAAGGGTACCCCCTTCTGACCGTCGGAGGGGGTGCCTTGAGGTCTCGTGGGTCCCTCGTCACCAGGGTTGCGGCTGACGGCCGTCTGAGCTGTCGCGGGCCTCTGTCCGCCAGGGTTGCCGCTGACGGCCGCAAGAGTTCTTGAAGATCTCTCTTCTCCTGCGTCTTCTTGCCAAGTCTGCTGGCCGCCAGGGGTGCCCGGAAGGGCGTCAGGGAGCGGGGGTACCTCCTTCTGACCCGTTCCGTTCCCTTCTGGCCTGATAGGCCCTGTGTCTTCTTGCGGGGTCGGCAGGCAAGACTGAGGGCTGGCCGTGCCCGCGGCTGCGGCGGCCGCGGAGGCCACTGCGGCCGCGGCCGCGGTGGTGGCAGCGGCGCCGGCGGCCGCGGCAGCGGCGTGCGCAGCAGCCGGCCCCCAGGCCGCAGCGCGGGCCACGGCCGCCGCGGCCTCTGTCAAGCGGCCAACCGCCGCGGCGGCAGCGGCCTCGGCCGCAGCCACGGCGGCGGCCGCGGCGGCGGAGGGCAGGCGGCCAGCGGGGGCGGCCGCAGCGGCCGAGGGGCGGCCCGTTGCTGCGGCGGCCGCCGCCGCGGGGCAGCCCGCGGCCGCCGCCGCCGCGCACAGGGCGGCGGCGCACGCGTCGCCGGCGGCGCCAGCGGCTCCAGCGGCGCCGACGGCGCCCCGCGGCGCCTCCGGCGGCGGCGGCGCCAGAGCCGGCAGCAGCGGCAGCAGCGGCGGCGGCCGCGCCGCCAGCGGCCGCGGGGGCAGCCGCGGCGGCGCCGGCCACCGCGCCCTCCGCCGCCGCCGCCGCCGGCGGGGAGCCGGCAGCGGCAGCGGCAGCGGCAGCGGCAGCGGCGGCGGCAACCGCCGCCAGCCAGGGCGGCGGCGGTCAGGCGCCAGCGGGGGCCGAGCTGGGCCGGCCGCCAGCCGCCGCCGCTGCCTCCCGCTCGCCGGCCTCCAGGGGGGAGGCGGCGGCGGCGGCGGCGGCAGCAGCCGCAGCAGCGGCAGGCGGAAGACCCGGGCGGGGCGGCCCGCTTCGGGCGGCGGCGGCAAGGCGCTGCCGCCGCCGCAGGGCGGCGCCAGAGGGGCCGCCGCCGCCGGAAGCCATCGCGACGGGGCGGGCCCGGCGCGAACCTGGACCAGGGGCGGGCTCGAGCCGAGACGGCTTGAGCCAAGGCTTGAGCCAGAGGCTACGGACTGGTGAGGGTTCGCGAAGCGTCAAGAATTCTGGAGCGCCTGCGGGCTAGTAGGCTCACACGAGTCTCGACAGGACCTTTGCTGATATACCCCGTGGAGCCTTCGGTCGGAAGAATAGAGAAGCATGCGGGAGCGGGACGCAGCTATAGCCGCAGGAGCATCGGCCACGTACGCATCTGGAGCGGGAGAGCCCGCACGCACCAGAGCCAGGCACGAGGTCCACACGCGTGCACGCGTGCGCGTGTGCCCTCCTCCTTTTCCTCCTCCTCCTCCTCCTCCTCCTCCTCCTCCTCCTCCTCCTCCTCCTCCTCCTCCTCCTCCCCTCCTCCTCCTCCTCCTCCTCCTCCCTCCTCCTCCTCCTCCTCTTGCCCCTTCTGCTCCTCCTGATCCTCCTCCTCATCCTGCCCCCTCTGATTCTACGCACACGGAGCGAGGGACACCCGAGCACACCCTCTGACTCTTCGACGCGCGGAGCCGCCCAGACGAGAGAAAGCTGCCTCCTCGCTCTCGTACGGGGTGCTGCAGCAGAGCGCATTGGCGGTCTCGGGCATCGCGCTGCCAATGCCGAAGCCAGTCTGGGACTTCCCTCCCAGGAGGCCGCCACGAACGTCCACGTAAGAGCATTTGCCTGCGTCCTGGAGGGGCACGGGCGTTGCAGCATGTGTTCGCCCTGAGCGTTTTCGCCCGGCTTCGGGCCCCCAGACCATCACAGATCGATCCCGCTCCCCTGGGATCCCCTCCAAAAAAATTGGAGCAGGCGGTTTTGGGCCTTTTTCGGCCTCTGGGGGCCCTCGCCAGGCCTCGGGAGCGTCAATTATCCTGGCAAAGCAACCTAACAGCGATGTGTAGGAGCATATCTGGAAGCATTCCCCTTAAGATTCAGATGAGAATCCAGTTGTAGAATTGTGCTGTTCTCGCAGTCGTAATCGCATTCGCGATGACAGTCGCAGCGGCAACGGCAGTCACAGACACAGCCTCAGCCTCAGCCTGCCTCAGCCTCAGCCTCAGCCTGCCTCAGCCTCAGCCTGCCTCAGCCTCAGCCTCAGCCTGCTTCAGCCTCAGCCTCAGTCTGCCTTCAGCCTCGGCGTCAGCCTCAGGCTGCCTCAGCCTCAGCCTGCATCAGCCTCAGCCTCAGCCTCAGCCTGCCTCAGCATCAGCCTGCCTCAGCCTCAGCCTCAGCCTGCCTCAGCATTCAAAATGTGGCCCGGAATGGAGTTCTGGGAACTCGAAGAACACGAAGTGGCCTACAGTTGGCTCCGGGCATTCAAAATCATGCCCAGGAATGGAGTTCTGGGAACTCGAAGACACGAAGTGGCCTACAGTTGGCTCCGGGCATCCAAAATGTGGCCCGGGAATGGAGTTCTGGGAACTCGAAGAGCACGAAGTGGCCTACAGTTGGCTCCGGGCATTCAAAATGTGGCCCGGGAATGGAGCTCTGGGAACTCGAAGACACGAAGTGGCCTACAGTTGGCTCCGGGCATCCAAAATGTGGCCCGGGAATGGAGTTCTGGGAACTCGAAGACCACGAAGTGGCCTACAGTTGGCTCCGGGCATTCAAAATGTGGCCCGGGAATGGAGTTCTGGGAACTCGAAGAGCACGAAGTGGCCTACAGTTGGCTCCGGGCATTCAGAATGTGGCCCGGGAATGGAGTTCTGGGAGGTCGAAGAGCACGAAGTGTGTGACTGTTGGCTTAAAACGACTTCTGCGGCACCCTGTCCGGCACCCGCCCAGACCCCCCTGTGGAGTCATCTGCTGCTCTCTTTTGACACCACTAGACACCTATCAGAACAAGCTGTTAGGTAAATTATCCCGGCAAAGCAACCTAACAGCGATGTGTAGAAGCATATTATGAAAGCATTCCCCTTAAGATTCAGATGAGAATCCAGTTGTAGAATTCTGCTGTTCTCGCAGTCGTAGTCGCATTCGCGATGACAGTCGCAGTGGCAACGGCAGTCACAGTCACAGCCTCAGCCTCAGCCTGCCTCAGCCTCAGCCTCAGCCTGCCTCAGCCTCAGCCTGCCTCAGCCTCAGCCTCAGCCTGCTTCAGCCTCAGCTTCAGTCTGCCTTCAGCCTCGGCCTCAGCCTCAGCCTGCCTCAGCCTCAGCCTGCATCAGCCTCAGCCTCAGCCTCAGCCTGCCTCAGCATCAGCCTGCCTCAGCCTCAGCCTCAGCCTGCCTCAGCCTCAGCCTCAGCCTGCTTCAGCCTCAGCTTCAGTCTGCCTTCAGCCTCGGCCTCAGCCTCAGCCTGCCTCATCCTCAGCCTGCCTCAGCCTCAGCATCAGCCTGCCTCAGCATTCAAAATGTGGCCCGGGAATGGAGTTCTGGGAACTCGAAGAACACGAAGTGGCCTACAGTTGGCTCCGGGCATTCAAAACCATGCCCAGGAATGGAGTTCTGGGAACTCGAAGACCACGAAGTGGCCTACAGTTGGCTCTGGGCATCCAAAATGTGGCCCGAGAGTGGAGTTCTGGGACCTCGAAGAACACGAAGTGGCCTACAGTTGGCCCCGGGCATCCAAAATGTGGCCCGGGAATGGAGTTCTGGGAACTCGAAGAGCACGAAGTGGCCTACAGTTGGCTCCGGGCATTCAAAATGTGGCCCGGGAATGGAGTTCTGGGGACTCGAAGACCACGAAGTGGCCTACAGTTGGCTCCGGGCATTCGAAATGTGGCCCGGGAATGGAGTTCTGGGAAGTCGAAGAGCACGAAGTGGCCTACAGTTGGCTCCGGGCATTCAGAATGTGGCCCGGGAATGGAGTTCTGGGAGGTCGAAGAGCACGAAGTGTGTGACTGTTGGCTTAAAACGACTTCTGCGGCACACTGTCCGGCACCCGCCCAGACCCCCCTGTGGAGTCATCTGCTGCTCTCTTTTGACCCCACTAGAAACCTATCAGAACAAGCTGTTAGGCAATATGGAAACATTCCCCTTAAGATCCAGATGAGAATCCAGTTGTAGAATTCTCCTGTTCTCGCAGTCGCAGTCGCATTCGCGATGACAGTCGCAGTGGCAACGGCAGTCACAGTCACAGCCTCAGCCTGCCTCAGTATCAGCCTGCCTCAGCCTCAGCCTCAGCCTGCCTCAGCCTCAGCCTCAGCCTGCTTCAGCCTCAGCCTCAGCCACAGCCTGCCTTCAGCCTCGGCCTCAGCCTCAGCCTGCCTCAGCCTCAGCCTGCATCAGCCTCAGCCTCAGCCTCAGCCTGCATCAGAATCAGCCTGCCTCAGCCTCAGCCTCAGCCTGCCTCAGCCTCAGCCTCAGCCTGCCTCAGCCTCAGCCTCAACCTTTTCCTCAGCATCAGCCTGCCTCAGCCTCAGCATCAGCCTGCCTCGGCCTCAGCCTCAGCCTGCTTCAGCCTCAGCCTCAGTCTGCCTTCAGCCTCGGCCTCGGCCTCAGCCAGCCTCAGCCTCAGCCTGCATCAGCCTCAGCGCAGCCTCAGCCTGCCTCAGCCTCAGCCTGCCCCTCCGGTCTGCCTCCAGCCTGCCTCAGCCTCAGCTCGAGCCACAGCCACAGCCTCAGCCTCAGCCTCAGCCTTAGCCTGCCTCAGCCTGCCTCAGCCTGCCTCAGCCTCAGCCTGCCTCAGCCTCAGCCTGCCTCAGCCTCAGCCTCAGTCTGCCTCAGTATCAGCTTGCCTAAGCCTCAGCCTCAGCCTGCCTCAGCCTCGGCCTCAGCCTGCTTCAGTCTCAGCCTCAACCTTAGCCTCAGCCTCAACCTTTTCCTCAGCCTCGGCCTCAGCCTGCATCAGCCTCAGCCTCAGCCTCAGCCTGCCTCAGCATCAGCCTGCCTCAGCGTCTGCCTCAGCCTGTCTCAGCCTCAGCCTCAGCCTCAACCTCAGCCTCAGCCTCAGCCTGCCTCAGCCTCAGCCTGCCTCAGCCTCAGCCTCAGCCTGCCTCAGCAGCAGCCTGCATCAGCCTCAGTTGGCTACGGGCATTCAAAATGTGGCCCGGGAATGGAGTTCTGGGAACTCGAAGAGCACGAAGTGGCCTACAGTTGGCTCCGGGCATTCAAAATGTGGCCCGGGAATTGAATTCTGAGAACTCGAAGAGCACGAAGTGGCCTACAGTTGGCTCCGGGCATTCAAAATGTGGCCCGGGAATGGAGTTCTGGGGACTCGAAGACCACGAAGTGGCCTACAGTTGGCTCCGGGCATTCAAAATGTGGCCCGGGAATGGAGTTCTGGGAAGTCGAAGAGCACGAAGTGGCCTACAGTTGGCTCCGGGCATTCAGAATGTGGCCCGGGAATGGAGTTCTGGGAGGTCGCAGAGCACGAAGTGTGTGACCGTTGGCTTAAAACGACTTCTGCGGCACCCTGTCCGGCACCCGCCCAGACCCCCCTGTGGAGTCATCTGCTGCTCTCTTTTTAGCCCATTAGAAACCTATCAGTCTTCGCTGTTAGGTAAGAACGACTCAGGACGAAAAACCAGTCCTGGGGAAGTGGTTCGGACCTCTCGGGCCCACGCACCAAACAAATTGGAGCAGCTGGATGTCTGGGTCGAAAAATGCCCTAGAAATATGGGGCCTAGGGCTCCAGTGTTGATTTTCTGCGACATTGCACTGTTTCGCAACGTGCAGAGCATGCCCTCCTGCATGATCGCTGGCTGGTCAGCCGCTCTGCCTCGACGAGGAGGACTGGGAGGAAGAAGACGAGAGCAGGATGGGAAAAGAGGAGGAGGAGGAGGAGAAGAAGAAGACGAGGAGGGGGACAACTTCGAAGAAAACGGACATGAATGCTTCAGACCGAATAAAGATGCGCGTGCTTAGCGGGAAGCACACACGGCCAGGCTCGCGCGTGGAGCATCCGGAGGCCGCCCGCCAGATGCGCGTGCGCAGTGCCGGCGCGCCTGGCCACGCGAGGGCCTGGGCGTCGGAGGGCGTGAGGCAGCACGTGGGCCCTGTCGAGAATGCTGCCTTGGCTCTTTCGCGCTTCGGACGCTGGGGGTCGGCGTGGGACACCTTCGGCGGGTGATGATGGTGGTGCTGATGATGATGATGATGATGATGATGATGATGGTGATGATGATGATAGTGATGATGGTAATGATGATGGTGGTGCTATGATGATGATGGTAATGATGATTGTGGTGGGGATGACGATGGTGGTGATGGTGATGATGATGGTAATGGTAATGGTAATGATGATGATGATGATGATGATGATGGTGGCGATAATGCTGGTGATGATGGCACGATGGTGGTGATGATGAAGGTGATGATGATAATGGTGATGGTGATGATGATGGTGATGATGACAATAATGATGACGATGATGATGATGATGGTGATAATGGTGGTGATGACACTGATAATGGTGACGATAATGATGGTGGTGATGCTGATGATGCTGATGATGATGGTCATGATGAAAACGATGATGAGGATGGAAGAAGTGATGATGATAATGATGATGGTGCTGATGGTGATGATGAACCTGGTGATGATGGTAATCATGGTGATAATGATGATGGTGATGATGGTGATGACGACGATGACGATGATGACGATGACGATGATATAGATGATAATGATGATGATGAGAATGATGATGATGATGACGGTGAAGGTGAAGGTGAAGGTAAAGGGGAAGGTGAAGGTAGAGGTGACGGTGGTGGTCATGACGATGGCGGTGATCATGAGGATAATG